CAAGAACACACAAATGGTTTACCATATCTGAGGCAAGAAAGAGCAGGTAAATATTAATAATATAAGCACAGCCTAGAAGTAAAAATGACATTTCTCCCATGCCTAGTATGAGTCTTTATTGGTTACAATATGAGGTTTAAAATGATGTTTTTAAGTAATTAAATCTGACTAGAAGTAGGCCAAGAAAATTACAAAACTATCAAGAGGCCTAGAGGCCCTTAATGGATGTGTATTAATGTAATGAATAAACAACAGTTAGATATATATACAAAATATGTATTCAAATAGTAGTAAATTCATGAAAGGCAACAGTGGATTTATATCCACTATTATTAATGATGAACCCTGTCCTAAATGTATGTTATGCTTCAAAATAACAGCTAATGATATTATGAAGCCTTTATAATCAGCATAACATACATCCAGATTATAAAGATAAATTTTTATTGTTTTTAAAGATGTTTAAAGTTACGCTATACCCAATTTAGTATTTTATGACATTTCACAAAACATAATGGCAAATATGCAGAAGCCTTTACAGATATTTCTAACCTGTCTCCTTACATTTGTTGGATTCAAGTTTTTCAAACGAAATACATGAAAAAGATATATTCTCAATATATGCTCAACAGCAAATGACCTCATTAATGAAAACAACGTTTTAGTTAAAATTGTGTAAGTGTAACCACTGAGAAGGCAGTCACTTGATCAGAACTCAAAGATTCTAAGGTAAGATTTAAAAATCAGGACCACATATGAAATTTACTTTCCCCAGCACTCATAGTTAAGCAATAGTAGAAGAGCAGACAAATCCAAAAATGTGCAAAGTGCTACAGGATATCACTGATGTGGTCAATTTCACAGCAATAAGACCTTTAATGAACAGATGAATACTTACAAACTATAATGAGATAACTGCAGTATTTAAATGACTTAGCTTCAGAACTAGACGAGATGAGCCAGAATACTGGCAATTAAATTTATTATGAGACTCTGGACATATTTATTTAACCTCTCTTTGAGTTATTATCATCTGTAGAATGGTGATAATAATAATTTCCACCTCACAGAACTGACAGAAGTATTACAAGAGATATTTCATCAGAGCACTTAGAACAATACTTGGCACACGGTAAGTACTCAATAAATATTAGCTGTTACCAGGAGTAAAGCATTAGGGGAGTAATCATGAAAATCTTTTATACCGCAATGAAATTCACTAATTATCGTTTGGCAAAAAACTTAAGAGATCTCAAACTCAGAGATAAATTACACATTTTTCCTGTACAAGTAAATAAGAATTCCAAATTTGCTGGCCAGTTCTGGAATATTATATAAAGACTCAGGTCTTTGAGAATACTTCATCAATGCCTCTTGCTTACTTAAAAGTTATATTGATAATGTGGCCACAAACAGCTAACAGAAAATGCTTCATCAGAACTTAGAATACATACCCTCAAGTCAGGAGAAAAGTTCTCTGCAGAAGTCGAAATGGAATCCGATGATACAACGGAGGCTGATTTTGTATGCACTGAATTCTCTGAATGAGAAGTGGAAGCACTACAAGATACAAAAGCACACAGTACGTTTGAAGAATGGAGGTGTTGAAAAACCAATTTCAGAAATTTTATTAATTATAACTCCATTATTTATTAAAACTTCCAGTGCCAACTAGTCCTACTTTGCCTAGTCAATCTTATCTCCAAATACTGATAAATTGCAAGCTCTATTCCTTCAAGGCTAAGTATTCTTACCGTCCACATTCCCTGTGGACAGTCTTCCCCAGGACTCTTGAATACACTCCAGGTTAATTCTTTCTTTTTATTCAACCATCCATTCATTCATCCAACGAACATGCCAATGTGCAAAACCATTACACCAGGCACCATGATTTGGAGATAAACACGGAAACAACCCTCATGTTCATAAAGCTCACAAACTTGCAGAAGAGACAGACAAGTAAGTAAATGGTGCAATGTGCTAACAACTCTAATCTCACACACACACACGGGTGAGAAGACAAGGGGAGAGGACTATAAACTGGGAGAAAAGAAAGCACCTAACTCTACCCAGAAAAGTTCAGGGAAGACTTTACAGAGGAGTCTGAGTCTTGAAAGACAGGAAACTGCCAGGCTGACAAACAAGTGAGGGAATCCCAAAACTAAACAAAAAACACTGCAAAGGCATAGAATCATCAAAGAGCACAGAACATTTGAGAAAAACTACGAACAGTTCGACAGGGTTGGATGAGCAAAAGAGCAGACGATAAAGATGGAAAGATGGACTGTCTTTGTACCTGGTACCTTTCCACCAAACCAAATTCTATACTATTAACAAGCCTGTCTTAAACAGCCACTTCTTCTGTACTAAGTAATCGCACTCTACGGTTACTACTGTTCTCTTAAATTTCTGTAGAACTTTTGATACCTGATCACATACTGCCTTTTACTGTTTAGTGATCTTGGGTATGTAAATTTAGTCTCACCAACTTCCATTTAAGTATCCCAAGAGGGAGGATTGTATCTTTGTTTTCCACAAAATTGATTTCAGTGCCTGTGTATACTATTAAACGTATTGTGTTTGTTAAATTCAAAAACACAATGACAGTATACCTATGCCACAAACTGAATGATCTACATCATTTCCTTTTATCAGTAAAAGACATTTAAAATTACTTACGGTAAGAAAAATCAATGGTAGAAAAATCTCAGACACTTTGAACTGAAAAAGTTCTGATTAAAAAATATATTTTTCTAAAGCTTCATTCCTAACATATTAAAAGTCTGTCTCACAGCAAAAGTCAAAACTTTTCATTAGCTTCTGATGGAATAAACCCATCTTGAGGTTGTGATAATATTCAAGAACCACATTTTTGTTTTAAAATGAAAATTTGCCCCCTTTGATCAGTATGTCCACTTTTGAGAACATTTTCTCTAACTCTGTAGGTCACTTTCTCAGTTTGCTGACTGTTCCCTTTGTTAAAGGGAAACTTTTTATATTTGATGTAGTCCCACTAGTGTATTTTTTCTTTTGTTGCCTGTGCTGTTGGTGTCAAATCCAAGAAACTATTCTCAAGACCAAGGAGCTTTTCCTCTGTTTTTCTCTTGGAGTTTTACAGACTCAGGTTTTACTTTTAAATGTTTAATCCATTTTGTGTGGATTTCTGTGTGTGAGTGATACAAGGGTTCAATTTCATCCTTTTGCACACGGATATCCATTTCTCACCAACACCATTTACTAAAGAGTCTATCATTTCCCCATTGTGCACTCTTGGTGCCCATTTCAAAGGTAAGTTGACCATACACGTGTGGTGTTGTTTCTGGGCTCTGTATTGTGTTCTACTGTCTATGTGTCTTTGTTTATATTGTTTTGATAACTATAGCTTTGTAATACAGTCTGAAGTTAGGAAGTATGATGCCTTCAGCTTTGTTCTTTGTGCTCAAGATTGCTTTAGCTATTTCAGGTCTTTTATGGTTCCATACTGATTTTAAGATAATTTTTTCTATCTGTGAAAAATGCCATTGAAATTTTTACAGAGAATGCATTTCATCTGCAGATCACTTTGGGCAGCAATGACATTTTAACAAGATTTAACTCTTCCAATCCATTAACATGGGATAACTGTCTACTCATTTGTGTCTTCTTCAGTCCCTTCCATCACTGTTTTATAGTTTTCTTCATACAGATCTTTAACCTTCTTGGTTAATTTTATTCTTTAGTATTTTACTCTTTTTGATGCTACTGTAGTGAATTTGCTTTCTTAATGTCTTTTCCAGAAACTTCGTTGTTAGTGTATAGGAACAACTGATTTCTGCATGTTGATTTTGTATCCTGCAACTTCCCTGAATTTGTTTATTAGTTTTAACAGTTTTCCATGTATAAGATCATGCCATCCAAAATATGTTTTTACATACTTATACAATGTGAAAAGCATCTCCCCCAAAATAAACTGTCACTTCATTTAAATGGATCAAAATGGCATGCCAGGGGGAACATTTCAGAATCTTTTTTCAACTACAACCATCTGTTTATTTTATTAAGTATTTCAAAGTATAACTGTGGCTACTTTTTTATATCTAAGAACCTATAATATTATACAAAGGAACAGTCATTAAGAAATTCAATTATCTAGTTTTATAATGTAAGGAAAGAGAAACTGATAGGCTGAGAATGATTTCTTCCCTTTTTTTTTTTTTTTTTGTAGCCAATGCATGATAAATTAAATGCCATCTGCATTAAAATAACAAGTAGGGAGAGGATATAGCTCAGTGATGGGGCGCGTGCTTAGCATGCACAAGGTCCCAGATTCAATCCCCAGTATCTCTAGTTAAATAAATAAATAAATAAACAAACAAACCTAATTACCTCCCTCCTCCCAAAAAATTTTTTTTAACTTTTTTAAAAAACAAGTGAAATAATTAAGCTTTAGGCACAGTACTTTGACAGTGTTTGCTGCCTACTCCATATATATACACACCCTCTTTCTTTCCTGACTTTGATGAGGGCAGTTTGTGCCCAGCCCAAGAGGACAAGGACATGCTTGCTTTTGGCTCCCTCATGTCTGGGAGAACAATGTGACACAATTTTGGTCAATGAGATTTAAGGGAAGTCCATTCATTGTTATGGAAGCTTCTTATCTTCTTAATACAGGAGAGCAGAAATAGCAAGGTAGCCCTTAAACTTTCCCACTTTCTCCGGTCTGGACCAAAAAACGTAAAGCTTGGAAATACTGTGGCCATCTTGTACACATGAGCAATGTGCTGGCCTGCTAAGGACACAGAAAAGCATAAACTCCTTTCCTGGTGAGCAGCTGAATCCCCACCAACTCCCTACTTTGGGAATTTTTGTTATGTAAGATAAACGAAGTTCAACTTTTAAAATCACTGTAATGGAGTTTTATATTCTGTACACCAAATATAATTCTAAGTGCAATATAGCAATCAACACCCCACAAAGTCTACTTTGAACAAGTTGAAATGTGCAATACTACTCCGTATGCCTGTGACCTCCTGGGAAAACAGGAAAAACACCTGAAGGCAATAAAACACAATCTGGAATCATGGGTAACGTGCACCTAGGAAAACAGTACCAAGCGGGTATTACAGCATGTACCACTAAGACACCACACAGTTCTTTAGAGCCAAAGGATGAAATAAACAAATCCAAGAGAAATAAAATAACAAACAAAACCAGGTCTTGCAACCAATACTTTGCAGTCTCAAAGAGCCAGTCTTTCAAGCAAAAGTGTGGCAAACATCCTTTAATTATATTAACTTCTCTTTCCAGACACACATAAACATGGGCCAACATTATGATCTACAATCTTGTATTTGAATAAGCACTAAAAGGTTTTAAACTCCAGGCAAGCAATGAGGGAGGGGCTGGAGGGGTCAAGGATGGGAACATATCAAGGTACCTTTCTTGTGATTACAGCAACATTTACAAATGCACATCCACCACCACCACCAACAGAACCACTAAAAGTTCTGGGATAAACATGAAGTGGCTCCTCAAACCGAAGGTGGCCACAGAACACAGAACTCTTACTTTCAGTAGTTCATTTTCTCCTGTCATACAGGCTCTGCACAAACTTCTGATCATCATGGCTACTGAGAAAATACAATCTAATTTCCACTGCTCTTTTCCATTTTTCCCCTGCTCATCCGGAGGTCAAGCTCTCTCTGTTTATTATAAACTCTTCCACAAACAAGCTCTGTGTGCCCCTGAATTCACACCTTTGTCCATGCCATTCTGAAACAGAATGCCCATTTATCCCAATCTGTTTATTAACATCCTAGTTACTCTCTGAGATCCAGCAGAAAAGCTACCTTTTCCAAGAAGTCTTCCCCAGGTCTTCCAGCTGGAACAACTCGCAGTCATCTACACTTCTATCTATACTCATGACGGCACTTAACACTTTCCACATTAGACTAGAGCTCTTTGGTTACATAGCCACCTCCTTTAAAAATTATAAAAGGCTAGAGAACTAGAATCTTGTCATTGGCAAGACATTTGAACTCTTAGCAAAGACTGCAGTCTGCTAACCTCATTAAGTAACCAAGGCCACCTGAGTCCTCAGTTCTCCGAGGCCATAAACTTCACCACGTAAACTTCAATCCAGACATTCCTGTTATCCTAGTCACCCCTGTCCTCTTCGAAACTGCCAGCCCTTCTAGCCTGACTATGTGTTTCCTCCATCCATTCTCCCTGCCCAAGTATTCCTTCAGCTACTAACTCTTCCTAACCTAATACCGGACTTTTTATTCCATACTGAATAAATTCTTACAGCTTCAACCAAATTCCCTCCTCCACTTCTCTGCCTCAGCTGAGATCTCCTTCCAGGAATCCACTTCTCTGCAGGCTTTTCTAGAGAAGGTTTTCTTCTCCCGCGTCTAACAAAGCCCAAAGGGGAAGGCAGCACCTCCCCAGCTCCTCGCTCACGCTCCCGCACTAACACTACTTTCCCGTCTCATACATAAACGCCTTCCTCCTCTGAGGCTCATAACGCTTGGCTAGACAGCTTCTGTTACTACCCTCCACTCACCTTTCAATTACCCCTC